AGCAGTCTGATCCGCTCCAGGTGTGACAGTGCTGTCAGACTCCCAGTGCACAGCAGTCTGATCCGCTCCGGGTTTTACCATGCTGTTAATTGCTGTCGGTGGGGAAGAAACCCGGAGTGGATCAGACCGCTGTGCAGTGGGAGCTCCTGCAGTCCCCCTGCCAGCGGTGGGGTGATATTCCCCCCTGCAGACAGGCCTGTGGTGTGCTCTCCGTGTCTCTGTCACACTGACTCACGCCGTGCGGAGGAGGCTGCCTGCTGGGCTCTGGGGTGGGGGGCGGGGGGCTCTGCCAGAGGCTGACGAGATCGTGGGAGGTGGTGGGGGGGGGCCGGGGGGGGGGGGGGGGGGGGAGAGGCAGCAGCCGAGATCCACAGCCCTGGTTGTCTGCTCGGTCCTGGGTTTTTCCGGCGCGTGGGTCTTGCGGACGTTCGGCTTCCCGGATTGTGTGCACGGGCCCGAGGGCTGCAGCGCCTCGAGACCGGAATGTCGTTCGACAGGCTGGGCTGAGAAACGCAGCCGGTTTCGGGGAGAGGCCCGAGGCTCTGTGGTTCGCACCCGGTTCACCTGCAGTGTCCACCTGCGTCCTCTGGCCCGGGAAGACGTCGGTGGGGTTGACGCTGTGGGTGACTCCGAGGGTCCTGTGGTCTCCTGTGTTCAGGTCGGTGTGGGACAGCCGTCCTGATGAGTGCCTGTCGGTCTCTCCCCTGTCTGCCCCAGGCTCTTCAACCTGACCCTGAAGAAGCTGGTGATGTTGAAGGAGCTGGACAAGGACCTGACCTCTGTGGTCATCGCCGTCAAGCTGCAGGTATCTCCTCCGGGCCGGCGCTGGAGTCTCCTCTTCATCCCTGCTCCTCTCTCTCCCTCTCTCACTCGCCCCTGTGTCTCTGTCCCAGGGTTCGAAGCGCATCCTTCGCTCCAATGAGATCCTGCTGTCTGCGGCCGGGCTGACCGAGACAGACCTGCAGCTCTCCTTCTCCCTGCAGGTGAGCTGGACCGAGCACCTGGCCAGCAGGACATGACAGCATCTGCAGGCCCTGCATTTACTGCGCTGGACTGTGCTTTTACCCTGATCTCACTGGGCTCTACTGCGTTGGACTGTGCTTTTACCC